TTTTTTTTTTTTTTTTTTTTTTTTTTTTTTTTTGGCATAAATCCGCATAGAATACTGAAAGGCGGGTAGATGAAAACTGAAGCAATGCCAGCGACAGTAAAGCAGTTAACCGTTTTATATTAATTCTAGCAATGCCGCAGAAGTTAAAAGTTTTGTCACGGGGTTAGTTTATTGTTATTATTTTTTTCATTGGAACTCGATGGTACCGATCTGCTACTTTTAGTTTTGTTATTTTGGCTAACGATAATATTTGCTGTAAAATTTTGAACAGCGTTTTTTTTCCAGTCTAAAATTTAAAATATATGTAAAGGTTGATAATTGTTTAGAGAATTCTTTTGTCCTGTTGGGCATGCTTTTTTTTTCTTCTAAAATTTTTAACATTGATATTTATAGGATTAATCATATCTGCGTTCATTAGTAATCAAGCCTACCGACGTCTTCTGTTCGTCTTTCCTCTATTTTCAGCTCTTTTCAATTTTCTAAATTTATCTGGATTTTTAAATGCAAGAAGAAAAAGAGAAAAATTGGCCTAATTTGTATGCAAAAAATAGCAATTTGAATATGGTGGTTTTTAGTTCATTTTTCACCATAATAATTGACTACAGTTTCGGTAATGGCACAGTCCAGTTTTTTCCTCAGCTTTTTATTTTGTACAGTCAGCGAATAATGAAAACTTTTTGGATCTGCATTTGTTAATATTGTTGTTTAATGGCAAAGCTGTACTCTGTAAAGATTGCCGATGGTGCTATGTATTTGTTTACAGAGCTGTTTGGCAAGGGGATTGAGGGTTAGTGACTGATGAACATGTCTCGATGTTCATTGAGTTTACTCATTTAGGTTTCCCACGTGTTCAACCTGTTTTTGACTATGAGCTGTAGCCAAACTTTAATGGTCATTCTGCTCTCCCAAACTATAAGAAAACGCCTGTATGGGTGATGGATTTGATAAAGCCGTACACTTCAGCGTCTGATACCTTTGAAAAGTGAATGGCTGTCTTGAAATTCTTAATAGTTGTACCTATTTGTTATACCTTTTTTTTTTCCTGATTCAGGTCCTCAATTAATCAGTGCACTTGTGTATTTATCAGTACGTAATTCTATGAGAAAACTTTTTAGCAAGTTTTTTGCTGGTTTTGGTGCAAGTCAAGTTTAAATTTCTAAAATTATTCGTCGGTACAAGAGAAGCTGGAGGCATTTTTAGTATATTTAAAATCGTTTTTCAGTTGAGGCTTAGTGCGTTAAACCGTGTTGCTTGGATTGTTAAATTGTTTTAAGAATAATTTGCAAGAAATGAGATTGATTAACTTGCACATTTGTATAGTCTGTTGATAGACATGTTAAAAAAAAAAAATTTAGATATAAAAATTGTTGAAAATTTAGCGCTTCTGCGTATTTGAAAATCTTGTTAAAAGTTGTAAGCCAACGATCTGTCATTCGTTATCAGTTCTTCGTTAAGATGTAACTTCTGGAGTTTGGAATTGAAAACAAAAACAAACAGTGATGGGATTTTTAAATTAAAAAAGTACTTGAGTTACTCTGAGCTTGTTTTTTTGTAGTATGAGTTTGACTAACACTTGTCTGTTCTTTCATTTTGTTTTTTTTTTTTCTTTGATTACTTTATATTCTTTTTTGGAATTTTTAACATCAAGCAGCTCGTTTTATTTTACATTGTTCTCATGTGGTCTGTATTTTAGCAAATGAGGCTTACGTCTTATTAACAGAGGAATTAAAAACCTGCTGAACTTTTTGAAAGTGTTACAAATGCATAAGGTCAGCATAATCCTTAACTTTTACTAGTTTTTGTAAGTCAAAACTGTTTT